GATGCGTTCACACGCATGCCGGTCACGTCGCACTCGGCTGCGAACCTTTCTGAGGAGCACTGGAGATCAGCTTCAGAAGATGCTAATAAAACAAGGTCCCTCTTCTCCCATTTTATCCAAATTCTAACTTTCCTTCTTCATAACTCTACAATTTCATTTGCGTCTGTCCCCAATAGGCCGATGTCGTCGACACATCGAGCAAGAATAAACCGCTTGCCGTTGATTGAAAATCCCCCATCCCATTTAATTCATTCATTTTCCAAGACCGCTTCACCTTTAGGGTTACGGGTGAAGGCGGTTACGAACCGACAGTGCTGCCAATGTTGCCGGTCCAATGCCAACATCTGAGCTTCGGCGAAAACAACGGAACGCTGGAGCTGAGTCATTCGAACATTTGCCCCAGGTTAATCTTGGCCGTCTCTTGGGTCTTCTGCCAGTCGGTTTCACAAGAAAAAGTTGCAAAGCCATTTTTTCTGGAGGCATTCGCAACAGATACTCAAACCATTGCAGCTGTGACTTCTCAATCTGGAGAAGCAAAGGCTGTACACCAAGGGTCTCTGGAATTCCAGGCCAGGTCGAAACGCGTGAGGCCAGCGACTCCTCTCACAGAGTTCATTTCAGCCGCCTTCACCTGAGATCAAAGTTTTTCAGTCATGGTCTCATTCCATTTTGGACTATGGAATTCTGACTCCAGACGTGCGGCAAACAGCTTAGGGTGTATGGTATCTGCTTCACAGTTCCGCTGGAAACTTTAATTTCAACCGACTCTTCGAGCATCTGAATCTGTGAGCTGCAGCTCAAGTATACTTCTTGTAGAATTTGAATGGATTCTTATTCAATTCCTTGCTCTTCCAGCGCACGGAACACTGCATCATTCTCATTCTCCACCATGGATAGTTGACGAATGTCATGTAGATAAGCAACCAATACTTACTGCACTTTGATAGCAGCTGATTCAATATTTCGAGATAATCAAGTGTCGAAGAATTTTCGTGAAATCAAGCTTGCTCAAGCGGCTGCTGTTCGTCTAATTTCTTGCTCACACAATTTTACTGAATTTTTATGAGCAGCTCATACGAAAGAAATAACAAACATATCGGCCCATAATTTTTAACTCTTCCGATCACATTTCTTGTGGAACAGCACGGTTCATGATGATACCTGTTTCTTTGCGTTTCGTCTTTGTGCATATCTGGTAAACAGTTTTGCGATGATATTGTTTCATTTGTTATCATAATGTTTAAGTGTGTCAGCTGAACTATGATCTGGGCCTATAACGTTTTCACCGTTCGTTTGAAACAATGCCGCATAAACTAAACTTCACCTAAAAAATTTCAAGCACATCGGTTGCTGTTTCTTTTGTACGACCAGCAAACATGCTAACCTTTGACCTGAACAGATTGCTATGGAAACATCTGTACAGTCTTCCATCGCCATGTGGTCTGTAGCATTCTCTCAAGAGCCATTTTTAACTCGGCTAATGCACTGATATACAGACAGAAATCTCTTCATCTTTTTCATATACTATTACAAAATATTATCCATATAGTTGCACGTTATCCTAATCAGCGGCGTCAGAAGCGATATTTGTTAGTAAAACCAGAATACAGTGGATATAAGACGCAGGAAGCGCAACCTTGTGAGTGTGATGAGGTGTAAACGGGAAACAAAATCACAGGGCACAGTAGAATGAGGTCATGAAAACTGCACCTCGAGCGGTAAGCATACTCACGTCCGTTGCCGTTGCATGCAGTAGGAACAGAAGATGGGTTTGCTGACCAAGTGAACGTAATTTTGATTATTTAGCTTGCTCCCAACCAGTAGCGACCCGGCCAATATTGTTCCACTGTCGGTATGCCGAAGGTCGATAGAATCGCTTAAACACACTCAAAACTCGCCACAAGAAACTTTTTACCATTGTTCGCCACCAGCCAGTCTTCAAACATGTTCAGGTTTTCTGCGATTTAGGCGTTATGTGATGACACACATTCTGCTAACTTTGCGGAGCAGAAAATAACACGCCACGATGATCATGACGACAGTTTGGTGGCAACAACGACCAAAAATTAACCTTGAACCAGTTTCCTTAATTCCACACTTCGTATGTTCGGTATGTTGTAAAAGTATTATTTTGTTTGAGATTATATTAACCGCAAAAATTATTCGGGCTCAACGACTGGCAAAAACGCCCATGCTGATCGCATGGCAGAAATCAAAGGCAGCTGCCCTACAGTATGTTCGCCTAATTACTGTAATTTTACGCGGACTGTTGACGTGAGCAAGGGCGCCAATACCGACACAGTAACTCAGAATGAGGTTCCACTTAACGAAATGAACTTAAGGTTTGACAGGATACGACGTAGACCTGCTCTGTTCTGTTCAGCCTGCTCGCTGTTTGACCCAATCGACTAATTTCTAAATCCACTGTGGTGAAAAATAGGAAGCTTCATTAGGAGCAAGTAAACGTGACAAATCTTTGTCCCAGAAGGGATTTGTGGCCAGCTCATCTTGTTCTCTAAAAACCACGAATGAAACTCTGTAACCATGAGGAAGCTCGCTATAATTTGAAAGAACGAAAACTTGCAATCCTGAAAAGGATTAGATTTGCTGCAAAAATCAGGTGGCTTTTGACCATGATGAGGATTGTCTAACTCAAAATTGAATCCATTCGAGTCTATTCGCTCCGTGAATTTGGTTTTGTAGCATCAGAGTGACAAAAAATTTAGGCCTCTTTTCTGAGTAGGAAGGATACGAGAAAAATGGAGTTTTCGACAACGTTTTATGTTGTGCTTCGCGTGTAAAACGTTTGCCAGCTTAAATGACGAACCTTCTAAGCTTCTACGAACAAGGAGGTAATCAAACTACCAACTAAGGATGAATGATGCATTGGGTCAGCCATTACAGTATCATCCTTTGACTTTTGATGCCGATCCGTAAACAGATTCAGTCTGCATATTCATATCCAATCGCCTGGAAAAATGACCATAGTTCGATTGCATTTATCTTCGACATGGCATTTATCATGCTTCTGCATTGAAAGACGACTTGTTGCACCCAAAATTGTTTGGTTTAAACGACTGTGATCGATGCGACAGTATAACCATCTATTGTCTCCTTAGATGACCAGTTTCAGAAATGTAATGCACAGCAGGTGTAATGTATCTTAAGCAAAACTTGGTGCCTAGCAACGGCCCGCTACTTGAATGGTGCTTCGACCGTCTGTTGGCAAATGATAATCAGGGTACCATCAAAAGCAGCCGGCCGCAACGCCGGATCTGCAGCACACGGGCGGAACATTGAACTTGGCGCGAAAACTGAGGGAAACCCGACGACGCTGAGCGCCAAAGGTCAGCAGGAAGCCATCACCACGGTTACTGGTCACGTGAACGCATGTTGCATTTCACAAAATGCCGCCCGGCGAATGAATGGCGTTAAACCGGATTGCGGGCGGGCTGGTTGGTGAAGGCACGGCTTTCGTACGTCGGTTGTTGTCAAGTGACCGGAGAAAAAACCGAAACAGCGATTCGGCCACTTTGTAATTATAACGAACGGATCCCACACGGTCATACAGAAAGACCAAGCCGGTAAACGACTGTCGCTGCATG